AATAAGTTTTTAAATTATTTTCTATTATATTTTTTATGAAATATTATTAATATTAATTTTATTTTATAAATTTTAAGCTTTAGATTTGATATATAGTAAATAGTAAATATATTGTTCGTTATTTTTAGTAATCTAATTTTATTAGTTATATTTTTTTTATTTAGGTATACAGTCAACTCTTGTTATAATAAACTCTATGTCCTAGACCTTAACTTTGCTATAAAACTATAGTAAAGATTTTAAGAGATTTGATTAGTTAATTTGCTATAACAAGAGTATTTTATTATATTTATTCAAAAAATTCGTTATATCAAGAGTTCGCTATATTAAGGGTTGACTGTACTAATATTTGTAATAATAATGATATTATAGAAGATAAAGGTATAAAGTAAGTAAATAGTAAAGGAGGTAAATTAAATGTCATATAAAGAAAATACAAGAAGTAGTAGCTATTTACACTATTTTTGAAATATTTTCAAGTAAGGTTGGTATAAGTTTTGACAAAATGCTACTAGTATCACTTAGTACCAATGAAAAGAAAATAAAAAATAATTTAAGAGAGGTAATAATATATAAAACAAAGAGATAAAAAAAATAAATCTATTACTGCTTAATATATAATTCCTATTTTAGAAATTTAAAATTCAAATTCAAGTTAAATTACATAAACAATTGTTTTAAATAAAATACTATTTTTTATTAATTTAAAATAAATTACTAAATTTATTTATATATTCAAAATTTAATTGTTAAGTTACCATTCTAACAGTTAAATTTAAAAAAATAAAATTAATTTTTTTTATTTTAAAAAAATTTATCTTAAATAAGAAAGTATATGTTATGATTTTACTTATTTTCTGAAGTAATAAACTATCAATTGTAAATTAAATAAATTTTTATAAAAAAATTTATTGAATCATTACTTTAAAAGAATTAAAAATCATAATTTAAAAATTTATTCAAAAAATGAGAAAAATTATTTTATTTTATATATAAATTAGATTAATATTAAGCTAAAATAGTATAATTTAAAACTACTTTTAATTAAACTAGTTTTAGTTATCTTTTCTTACGAATAAAGATTAATGACTTAGCTAATATCAAGTGATAAAAAATAAAAAATGGATTTTTTTATATTGATAGTTAATAAGAAACTAATAATTTTATTTATATAACTTTAATATAAAATTATATTTTTATATAATGCATTTCTTATATAAATACATACTTTTGCTTAGTTCCAAAAAGAATGCATTTATAGAGAGTTAACTGTATCATAATTTTATTATTTTTTTTTAATTTCAGCGATTTGACTTTATAAATAATTTCTTTTTATTTTAGATTAGATTAGTTCTTTCTTTTAAGCTAAGAACTAGACAGAACTTTTAAACAGAACTATCTGATTCATCATTATAGTGAAAGTAAGCTATTGATTTTTTTTAGTTTTTTTTTTAATAAAGATATTAATTTTAATATTTTATCTTTTATTTAGGTTCAGTCAGTTCTCTTTTTTAGGCTGAGAATTAGATAAAATTTTTGAATGAAACTATTTTATTCATCATTATGATAAAAATAAGCTATCAATTTTTTTTTAGTTTATTTTTTTAATAAAAATATTGATTTAATATTTCATCTTCATTTTTTTTATTTAGATTTAATCAGTTCCTTCTCTTAAAAACTGAAAGGTAAGCTGATTAAATTTTTTTAATTCATTATATTTTCTTTTTTTTATTTAGTAATTAATTCTAATTACTAATTAAATTTATTTTATTTGATTAATTATTTTATTTTTTTATTAGGCAATTTTAGATAAATCTGAATCTTGATCAGTAGTAAATACAAGTAACTAAAATTATTTTTCTCACTATTATTTATTTTTTAGATTAGGTTAGTTCATTCTTTTAGCTAAAATATCTATTTTTATTACTATAGAATAGGTTTTTAATAAATTTTTTTATTTTATTATTACTTTAAATATTAGTAATTATAATCATTATTTTTTTATTTTTTTTTTTTATATAATTACATAAAAAATTACAAAAATCTTTCTTAATTATTCATGTGATTCTTATGTTCCAATTTTTTTTTAAAAAATCATATATAAACAACTATTATTTTTATCAATATTGATATTAATATTGATATTGAAATTGGAAATTGAATTGATATTAATATTGATACTGATATTGAAATTAAAATTGATATTAATATTAATATTTAATATAAAATCAACCCTTATAGTTTCTGCATGAAGTTAACCAAATTTATATATATTCTTTCCTTTTTGAAAATATATAGATTTTATAAAATAGATAAAGTTTAAAACAAAAATAAAATAATATTATTAATTTTCTGAAAAATTGAAAATTTAATATAATTTTAGATTTAAACATTGTTAATACAGTAGTTAGTCAAACTATTGGTAATTATTTTAATATATAAGAATTTTTTATAAAAATATAATTAGAGAAAAAAAAAAATAAGTAAGTAACTTTAATTATTAAGTTAATTAAATAGAAGTTTGTTTTATTTTTTTTTTTTAATTGTTTTATATATTTATATAAATTATATAAAGTATTTATTTATATAACATATTTAAATAGTAAATAATATATAATCAAGTCATTAAATTAAAATTTTTAATTAAAGTTTAATCATAAACTCAATTTATTTTAAAATGTAACGTAGCCTAAAATCAGTTATTGATTATTGAAGTGTATAACTAAAAAGTTAAGATCAGGAAATCAATTTCGAAAATCGAAATTCATTTCGATCGACTCGAATATCGAAAATCAATTCGGATATCATTTCGATCATCAATCATTTCGAAAATCAGTTCGGATATCATTTCATTTCGATCGACTCGAATATCGAAAATCAATTCGGATATCATTTCATTTCGATCGACTCGAATATCGAAAATCAATTCGGATATCATTTCGATCATCAATCATTTCGACCGACTCGAATATCGAAATCAGTTCGGATATCATTTCGATCATCAATCATTTCGATCTGACTCGAATATATTCATTTCGATCGACCTTATTTATTTTAAAATAAATGAAATAAAAGAAAAAATTAAAAAAAAAAGAATATAAAAAAATAAAGGGAAATTGTATTTTGCGCACCCTGCATAAATGCACCCCCTATGTTTATATATGTTGAAGCGGAGTTAGGGTTAGGTTAGTGTTAGGATTAGAATTAAGGTTAGGGTTAGGGGTTATTTATCACAACGCATCACACCCCTATGTGTTTCATTTTTACGGTTTATTCTGTGGACAGAGAATTTTTTTATAGAAATTTTTTATTTGTCATCTCTTATATAACACACCCCACATTTTGCGCAGGTGCGTAGAAAATAAAGACCCAAAAATAAAAATAAAGCTTACCTAATAGAAAAAATCGAAAAAACAAAAAAAAAACAAAAAAAAAGAATTTAAAAAACTTTCAAATATTTGAAATGCAATTTGTATTTCAAACGGAAACTCTATTCTACACGATCTTATGTTTTATTAATGTACGTGAAAATGATAATAAAGTATGAATAATAAAAGATTTTGGTGCTTAGTGAAGATTGAACATTTGCAAAATTTTTTTTCCGGATTTCTCTTGCTTACACTTTTCCTTAATGGTGGTGTGAAAAAAAGCGGTAATAACCATTTATATCGTATTTATCGTATCGAAATGCATAAGACAAAAAAATAAATCTACTGTTAAATAATCCAGTTTTCACAAACTAGTCCTTTCCAAAATACTTAATTTTATTTATCTTTGAGACTCGTTTTAAAAAGAAATCTATTTAATTATCTTTGCAATTATAAAAAATAGAGCATGTGCATAAACAAAAAAAAACAATGATCGGTTTCTAAAACTAATCATTTATTTATTTGAATTCTGTAGGCAATTATGCATCAAACATTTCAGGAATCTTCAAATACTTTTAGAATTATTGATTCAATCTCTATGTTAGTAATTTTTTTGTATTTGCTTCGATTCCATTACCACATGCTAAAAATTCACTAACAACTTATCGCTGCTTTCACCATGTTTTCGTCCAATACCTCCATGGCTTCGTCCCAAACTGAATCAAATTTATAAATCAATAATAAGTCAGGAAATTAAAACGTAAAAGCGGCTTAAGTCATTAATTTTATTGGATAATAATATCATATATGAGAAAAACAAAAGAAATCTATCTAAAGCCAAGCACTTCGACACAATTTGGACATAGAACAAGCGAACCCATATTTTCACGCTTGCTTTGCTACTTCTTTCTATATTATTGGTCCTAAATTTCAGGGAGAAATTCATCGACCAACAGATATATCATTTTAACTAAGGCCAATAATGTTCTATTTAAGAAAGAAAAAGAAAATCTTAAAAAAAAAGAAAAAAACAAAAGAATTGAGCGTAGTCCTAAAAGAGCTGAAGTGTTAGTAAAGGTAATCTTCAGAATGAAGACAATATAAAATTATATTGGTGTATTTCAACTTCTAAACAAGTACTTATAAGATAAACAATTTAGTTAAGCTTTACCTAAGTAGTATAACGGGATTTTGAATATTCTGAATGACAAACAATGTCGACTACGCCCTTGTTAAAATATCGTTATAAATACATGATTTGATATTACGCCATATATGATGGTAGATTTATTAAGGAAGCAGGATTAATATACTATGATTACTTTGAATAACAGCAAAAATGAAATGTGTACCAGGAACTTGAAGCTCAAAGTCAATAAAAGTGAAGCTCGTCACAATATGATAAAAAACGTCACGAGAAATTTCATTGATTTTTGTTTAGTTAAATAATGTTTTAATAAAAAGGCTATTTAATAAATTATAACTGTACATTTGATTTATAATAATTTTTTTTTGTAATATACTAGAAACCTAATACAAAATTTGGTTGGAATTTAATAATACGTTAGTTTATTGTATGTAAAAAAAAAAACTAGGATAAAAAACCTTCAAGAATTACCATGTAATAAATCATCAAATGAGTTGATCTACTGGGATGCCGGTAGCGGAGGATATGATTTTCCGAAGGGAAGAACGAAATTTCCCAATAGAATTGTATGTGAGGTTTTTGATACCATCATATTTTTCAAAGTAAGCAAATTTCGATATGCTATTACTTTGGTAACGAACGATAACCAAGGAGTCACAGCGCATCTCCCGGAGATCATTATGCAGAACGGCCACAAGGCGTACCAAACGATTCTCTTCTAGGAATGTTTTGATTTTTATAGAAAAGATTTTGTTTTTGCTGAAAAAGTATTTGAAGAGATTAAGAATCTTTTGCGTAAAAGTGGTTTCATTTAGGTTGATAAGGACCAAAAGTCGTAATAGTCGAAGGATAATCGGCAAGTAAGTCTCTTCCTTGCAAAAAAGTAAGTCCAGAAGCTGTTGAACTTGATCAATGAAATTATTGATTACAGATAAATAATTTTTTCTGCTATAAATAGTTCGTCCCGGAATGAGAGGATTCACGGTGAATACATCAAAGTAATTTATCAGATAAGATCGAGGAAGACAAAAATCGCAATACTCTTGACCAACTGCAAAAATCAAAGATGTCGTAAATTCCATGAGAAACGCAAATTCACCAAGAGCATCAGATGATACCAGATTGACCTTTTCAATATTTTTTATAGCATAATTAATAAACGCCCCTGAGCTTGTAATCGCGTGGATCACTTTATTAGTGTGAAGAAATGAGAAAAATAGCGCGAGATGCCTTCCAACCGGGATCATTTGATAATTTCCACAATAATATTCAAAACCTACGGGCAGATAGCTAGGGTGTGAAAGAATTTTTGTTTTCGACATCTCCTGATAAAATTCATCAATGATCTTTTTGTCCTGAAGCTGCTGAATAACAAACATGCGTTTTAACATTACTTCAAAGTTATCGGCATCCTTGAACTCATTAAATAACCATATCTTGTAAACGTCATTGATAAGATCATCACGGATGTGGACAGAAAGTTTGGTCAGAACCATACGAGTAACTTCTGGACAGCTTGTCTGAGGTGATTGATAACACATATGACATTTAACCAGAGTTTCAGCCCACCACTTTTGTGAATTATTTATCTCTTCCTTATGAAGCTCATAACGGCATAATACATCCAACTGTCGCACCACTGTATATTGGAGTCTCGCAAGTTTCAGGCGCTGGAATAAAAGTAATGGTGTTGGAACTATGTGATACATTCGACAATTTGGATCTTGACAATTATTCGATGATGCAAAATTATAGCAGATTCTTGAAGCTATATCCGGATTATTTCTACCATCCTGATCGGCTTTCGAAATTAACTCGTAGATATACGAGGTAAGGAACTGCGAAATTTTTTGATGCACTAAATCCACGTCATAAACATTCCAAAAGTTCGTAATTTCTTCATTTTCATTATGCTTGATGTCCATAAAATAATAAAGAGGGTTGTAATAAGAAACTTTTCTTTTATAAGGATTTTTTACTCTGCTTACAAAACAAATATCTTCAAAAACTTTAGAAATTTTTGCAATATCGTCGTTTTTTTGCGGGGCTATAAAAGATAAGGACAATTTACACAGTCTCAGCAGGCATTGTAACCGTTCATCCCAATAATTGATATTGATATCGGACGGCGAGGGAACCTGAAGCCACGTGACTATCGCAAAAAACTCAGTGACAAGCTCTTCACGATTTCTGAAAAATTGTATGCACTCATGGACTTTATTGAGTTTCTTATTCAAATAAGAAGAATAGCACTGAAATTCTACCGTTAGATTCTTCCAATATTCAGATTTTGATTTAACTTTCAGAACAATCTCGGCTGCTTTTGAATGAAGCCCATGCAATTCCTGTAGAATATTTGTACTTGTAAGACTAATTATTTTTTTCAATATATGAACTCGGCATTGGTACAATAAGCACTGTAGCGCATCAATTCTATCCCCTTCAACGTCAATCGAACGCATAAACATGTTGGCTGCCTCTTCGAACTTATCATATGAACGTAGCTTTTCTGCTTCTTTACGAAAATGGATGTTTAGAAGGAGAATTGTATCATTGTCAACTTCTTCTCTATGCCTTATCAAGTAATTTAACAAATGTTACAATATAAATTTTTGCAGAATCTTAGTATGTTTAAAGTAATATTACCTTTGAATCAAATTGGTTACCGTTTCATAAAGGCTGCCATTTTTATAGGAAATAACGGCATCATCATACTTCTTTACCTTTTCAAAATATACACCTGCTTCGTTCCACATCTTGGCTTTAAAATAACAATGCGCAGCAGACTCAAACATATTTGATTTAACGTAACAAATACCGGCCTCACAATACATATCTATATTCTGAAAGTTTTATTGAAGTTTTTAAGATTGATGTATATAATTAAGCATTCTAATTTAGAATGTAACATGTTATACCTCATAGCAGGAAGCTGCTTTTGACAACCGAGAACATTCTACAAAGGCCTGAGCGGCGGAAATAAATTTGGACTTTACGGTTTTTTCATCAGAACCGGATACGAAGGAAGTTCTGGCTTCTTTTCGACGAAGATACGCACGGGCTAACTTCTCGTTCTTCTCGTTTTTACTCTTTTTGAAGCAGAAAACAGCCTATATAGGTTATACCTTAATTTAGTAAACTCAATTCATTATTGAATAGCACTGACTTATTGAAATGAGTTTACCTGTTCATATTTCTGTTGCTCAAAAAACGACTTTCCAACTTCATTCCATTCGAAATGACTACTCCTTTTAAGCAAAGAAGAAATGTTTTCTTTTGCTACTTCAGCTAGCTTCTTACATTTCCAGTACCTCCGGATTGGCTCGCTAAACTCAGCATTTTCATCAAAAATCCAAAGACGCATTCGGGCTCTTGTTACTGCGACATAAAGATGCTTGAATTCCGAACAAAGGATATAATGTTTCTCATGAGAAAAAGTACGAATTCCTTCAGAATAGCCATCCAAAGCGGAGAGAATTACTCGCCACTAAAATATGATAAAATTCAATAATGATCATTTCGTGCTTTTCAAAACAAAGTACCGTAAATAATACACATACATTTGATCGGGCAGGCGAATCGGCAAAGAAATCATACAATAATACGTCATTAAACTCCAAACCTTTTGCCTCGAACACAGTCAATACCAATCCAATATCGCTGATATTGTCCATCACTCGTTTTTTAGCTTCAGCATCACGTACAATGATAACCTGGTTAGCTCCAAATTCAATATAAGTATCCTCATTCTTTTTAATGTTTTTCTCATCATTAATGTCGGTTATGAACAAGGTATTAGCCTGATAATCCTCGAAAATGAGAGGTTTTGGACCGTCAATCTCACCGTATTCCGGTGCCATTTTGTCAATAGAATCAGGAAAGAATTTCTCGATGAGTTGGATTACTGATGAAGCAAGTCGAAGAATCCCGTTGTGTGATCGGTAGTTAACATCTAGTTCAAACTTTTCTGGTTTTAATAGATTGTAATGGGTATTTTCAGATTGGATTCGACTGAGATTCCGTTGGTACATTAATGTGTATAAATCTATTTTATGAAAATTAGAGGTTAGAGATAGCTAGAAGTAATTATTTAATCCTTAATAAAAAACATCGCGTACCCTGGAATCGAAATGAAGATCCCCGGGCAATGCATTGCGCTACATCACCGGCCATAAAAATACTGTCCGCACCATCGAAGATTTTGAACATGAGCTCGTAATCTACAATATGATTATCCTGACATTCGTCAATATACAATTCATGAATGTGCGGGCCATCAAACGTTTTCGTTTTGGTTGCGCGTAATATGTCTAGTGTTCTACGAAAAAGAATTTGAAAACATATGAATACTTATCCAAATCTAAAAAAATCTTCCAATCTTACCGATCAACCGCATCAAAGTCAAAATTCCCCGCTTTTATGTATTTATATCGCTCAAATAAATCATAAATTTCGTCACGGTTGTGACAGAATGTTGGGTATTTTCTGGTACTTATGGAACGGTATTCTTCCCTTGATAGACATTCCGCTTCAATATTCATGCCCTTCAGATTATTTTTTGAAAAAACCTAAACGTTAAAATAGAACTTATATATAGACGTAGGGTTTTATGTTGTTGCATACCTTGATAATGGAAAACTCAGCATATACTAGCTCGCAATCTAGCTTTTTTCTATAATTATCTGCGAAACGAGGCCAATACTTTGCTTCAAATAGATTATAGTCAACAAAACGGGCCCATGAAGCGTTTGACATGTTCTTAAAGGAAGACCTAATGTGGTATTCCTCCTCATTATGGTCATCCGTATCGAGCTTTTGTTTTTGTTTTGTAGTCAACTTTCGAATGTCAATACTGTAGGTTTCCTGAAGCATTTCCGAAAACTCTTCATAGGTGAGGAATAATGGAAAATCATGGTCAGTCAGCAGACGGAAAGGAGTAACACTTGGATGATTTTCGTCATCCTCTTCATGCATAGTATTGACAATTAGTGACTTATTGCCGTATGTTTTCTTCCACTCAATAAAATCAGCCTTCGATATCTTTTTTCCAGAAAGCATTGCCGAATTATGTAATTGATTGAAGTAATTCTTTATCTTTGAGCGTAGAAAGGTGTTCGCCGTAATAAATATTTGCCTTTTGTAGAAATCCTCGTCATTGTCATGCAAAGATGGCGTTTTATAAAATTGGCTAGTCAGATATGAAGCGAGCTGTCTAAATACGATACATGTGGTCTTGCCGGTCCCTAAATATTAAATGTTCCAAGAATAAAAATAGATTAATTCAATTCATTGTTTTCAAAACTTTCCAATTAATGAGACACCATTCTCCGCATCATTATAATTCTGATTGTCATTATCACAGTATCTTTAACGCCATTTTCAAATAAATAATCGTTACTAACCAGATCGACCGAAAACAATCGTCGATGTAGGATTGTTAATTATCTCGTACTCTTTCTTAGATACTTGAAAGGCGAAGTCCGAGCCACTCATAATTAGTGACTTAAACAATTTCTGCAAGTAAAATTATTTATTTAAGAGTTTGATTCTCAGAAAGTCTAAATACAATATTTATATAACGACGATACTCTACCCTTGAAATAGGAAAAAATTTATTTGTAACAAGCATTTTATGGACTGTTAGTAGCCTCTTATCGTTCTTCGCAACGTCAGCGAATCTTGTTTTCTCAATATCTCCAAAGCATCCCGGTAAAACGACATTGTCATTGCCTAAATTTTGTATTTTGCATCGACGAATCTGCTTAGAACTGTAGACCTTATGAACTCTTTCGAGAGTTTTTAATGTTGTGATAAACTTTTCTTGGCATGCAGTGATGGTCCAAACCTTTACATGTTGTGTAGACGAATTACTACGAATAGAAAACCCGTAGTCAATCTGCCAGAGAATCTTTATATCACTGTTGGGAAGTTCAGCTTCATAGATAGGTATAGTGAGAGATGACACCTCACATTGGAGTCCGTACTTTTTCCATGCTCCGGAAGATATCTGCCTGAGTTTTTTCATAACTTTTTCAATAGTGAGAGGTGACTCTACATGCATATCATTGACGTCTTCTTTGAACAATATGTCCTGTAAATCTCTAATTGTGCCTTCACTGAGTAAAATGTCCCACGGTCCAAGTCTGTCTGTATCGTTGAATTCGAATGGAAAGTGAAAATTACGCCCTGGTAAATAGCTTCCAGCGTTTATTCGCTCTCTTCCTTCCATGAGTATTTTTTTTTGTCAATCAATTTTCTATTTAAAGAAAACTTGGTGTACAGAAATCCTATTTATATAAATATATATATATTTTGGATATAAGGTTATTTATCAATTATTTTTTTCCACTTTGATAATGGTTTATAAAACAAAGAATAAAACAAGCGAAAAAGAGTACCGATCTACAAATTTCCGGAAAAACTAATAATGCTTAAACATCGTTACACGAGTCAATATATTGTTGTGGTGATATTGTCTGAGATATTTGTAATTTGATAATATTTTGAATTAGTTCATTTTAATGTAACCGGTTGTGAAATCGTTGGAATTAAAGGAATTAGCTGTCCGATGGAGTCTTTTGTATTTTCATCATTTTCATAGAATTTCATTCAAGAAAATAATATTGAATGTAGTGACCTTCAAAAGAACGCCGAAAGAGACTAAACAAGTTAATGTTTGATTAAATCTTTTAAACTTCTTTTTAATGAATTCTTACTTTTAAATATCTAAATCATGAGCCTCATTATTAAATGGAGTAACTCCTGATATTAATTCCCACATAATCATAGAAAAACTATATATATTACTAGCTAAAGTATAAGGTTAACAGGTTTACATAATCCTAAATCACTAATTGATAAAACCTTATTTCTAACATTTAAAATATTACCATGATGAAAATCACAATGAATAAGATTTTTTTTTGATGTATTTCCTCAAGCCCATTAATAATATTATTTAATTAATAATCCATTTATATTTAATAATTCAAAGTATTTGGATCTTGAGTAAATCCATATAATTGAATAAGATTTTCATCTGAATATTTTTTTAATTGACTATAACATTCATAATGATATTTCTACTAAAATAAAAATTAATTAATTTAAAATCTTATTATTTAAAATTAAAATAATTATTAATTTATAATTCATTTAAAAAATTCTTATTTAGATTTGATGTTTATCAAAACTTTTAAGAATTATATTAATTCTACCTCTTCTAGTCCAATTATTATTATTATATAAATATAATTAAGTAAATTTATCAATCCAAGTTGCTTTATATATAATACTAAATCCTTCTTTATCAAAATACTCAATATTTTTAAATTTATTATAAGAAATCCATTCTAATAATTGCTTTTTATTTTGAGCATTTATTTGAACATTTTGAATAAATTCATTAATAAATTTATTTTTACTAGTTTAATTAGAAAAATTTTATTAAAATAAATTAAAATAACAGTCTTTATACCATTCATAACCAGTATTTTTTTTATTACAATTTGAGAAATTTTCTTATTTTCTAAATAATGATTATATATTATTAATATTATAATTATTATTTTATTATTATTTTAAAATATAATATATAATACTTGCTTAATATATAAATAATTAAATATATAACAATAATATTTTATATTATTATTTTAATTATGCTTAAATTATATATATTTATTAATAAAAATTAAATATAACTTACTATCTATTATATTATTATTTATTTATTTTTAAATAAAAAATTTAGCTATCTTTAAATTATAGTAATAAGTATAATTAAATATTGATAATCAATAAATTAACTTACAAACTAAATTATTATAAAAAATTAATTAACTTTAAATTATAGTTATAAGTATAATTAAATACTAATAATCAATAAAAATAATTTACCAACTGTTGGATTTTTTAAATAAAAAATTTAGTTAACTTTTAAATTACAGTAATAAGTATAATTAAATGCTAAAAATCTATAAATAACTTATTTGCTAATAAAATTTATTTTTTAAAATAAAAAATTTAGTTGATTTTAAATTACAATAATAAGTATAATTAAATACTGATAATCAATAAAAATAACTTACTATCTATTGAATTTTTTAAATAAAAAATTTAGTTAACTTTAAATTATAATATAAAAAATTAATATTTTACTTTCTATAATATTATAAAGAATATTAATATTTTATTTAATAATATATAATAAATTTACCAGTAAATATACATATCTTTTCAAGTAATTTATGATATATGATTAAGACTACTCTGAATTTTTAGATCTGATATATAAATTATTTAAAGTATAAATCATATGACAGGTACAGTTATAGCTGTGGTTTATGATAATTGTTAAAGATTAAATTTTTTCACATAAATTTTATTCTCACGCTTTCTTTTTCTCTTTAATTATTTAAAATTTCAAATTTTTTCTTCTATTTAAATATTATTTTTACTTTCCCTTTATTTTTTAAATACTGTTTTCCTTTATTTTCAAATATCTCTATTTAAACTTTTTAATTATTGATCTTGAAATTCTAAAAATAAATAATGATTTTTATAGCGTAAAGTTAGTATTAGAGTTTAGGATTCAGATTTAGGATTTAGATTTAGAGTTAGAGTTTAAAGTTAGAGCTTAAAGTTAGTTTAGGGTTATATTTAGTTAGAAAAAAAGGAAGTACATCAGTAAATTTAATATTATATAAACCTTATATTTTATAATCTTATATAAGATTATAAGCCTATTAAAAAACTTACATATCATAATACTTTAATATTATTACTATGTATAATATTTTAAAATTTATGATATGTAAAACTTTCAAAGGTTTACAATATGCAAACTTGCAAAAGTTTATGATATACTAACTTGCAAAAGTTTACAATATATAAACTTGTGAAGGTTTATGATATACAAACTTATAAAAGTTTATGATATATAAACTCGTAAAGATTTATGATATGTAATATAATATTATAGTAATTTGCATATTAGTGATGCGTAATACATCAAAAGTATATATTGCATACATATTTTATATAATTAATTTATCATAATATTATTTAAATTTATACTTTATAATTATTAACACTTAATTTTATAAAATTATAAAATTTACAATTTATTTATTTATTAAATAAAAATATATATATTAATAATAAAATACAAATATTTTATAATAATAAAAAACTTTTTAATATAATATAAAATATAAAAAAATATTATAATTAGTAATATATACTGTAATAAATGAAGTTAATAGTATTAAATAATGTAAAATTAGTAATATTAGTAATATTTAACATGAAAAAACAATATAAAATAGATATAAATAGTAATATAAAAATGTTAAAAATAAATAAAATAGATATAATTAGTAATATAAAAGAAAGAATTAAACATAGTTAGTAAAAAATTAAATGTTAATGATAAAATTTAACATTAAAATTTAACATTAAAAATATAATATTCAAAGAAGTAAATATATTTGATAAAAGGAAAGAAGAGAGTGAGTGAAATAAAAAATATCAAAAATAGCATAAATAAACAAAAGTAAATAGAGGATCTGGTATAATGTAAATAAATCATATTATTGGTTAATTTATAAGATTATATAATAAAACAAAAAGTATAAAGCAAAAATTAGAACAGGTGAATGAGTGAAAATGATAATAAAGTATTTTTTTTTACATACTTTTATGAAACTCAAAATGAATTTTATTTATAATAAAAGATTTTTAATTTTTCATTAATTATTATTATTAAATATACATTTAAAAAAGAATAAAATTTTACATAATACAATATAATTATAACTTTTAATTATTATATAAATTACTATTTAATATAACTTTAAAAATGTAGAAAAAATAATAATTGTTCAAAAATTAATCATAATAAATAAAGTAATAACTTTAAATACTTTACTAAAATACTTTTATTTGATACTTTTTTTTTATAAAGTATGATATTTCACAATATGATAAAATTAATATACAATTAATCAAATTCATAATATGATATAAAATTTTTTTTTAACTAATAAAAGTATTTGCAATATAAATAATTAATTTTGAACACTTATAGATAATCCTATTTTCTTACATATTAATATACAGTTTTCTCATTTTCTTTAGGTTTTTAGATGGTAAAATTAGTATTCAGTATCATTACTTTTCAGACTGTTCCTTTTGCTTCAGTTCTGATAGTTATACTTGCTTGAGATTCTTTTATAATGAATCTCAAAATAATTGCTTTCAATTATTTCTAAATATCTTAGGATCAAATTATTAGATTGAGATAGTTTTAGTCTTGTTTGAAAGATTAGAACCTATCGAATCTGTATATTAAATTTGATAGGAATAGAATTGGTAAATATTGAGATATTCACATTCAAACTTCGTTATGACAATTCACAACTTTGTATTTTTTAACCAAATTATTTAATTTTCTAGAAGAAGAGTTGTTAAGAGTTACTGATGTAAAATATTTTACTTATTCAAAAAAGTGTGCTTTATTGATTTAATATTTAAAGAATTGCAGTATGTATGTATTAATATTAATGTAAAAATTCTATAATTATTTTAAAAAATTTTAAAATTTCAAATTTGAAAAACAATTTCTAATACTAGTTTTCAAACAAATATTTATATTATAAAGTATTAATTTTACTATAAAACTTTGTATTAATGGTTAAGTTTAAAAAAAAAGTTTTTTTAAGATTATATTAAATAAAATAAAATTAAAAAAAGAAAAAAAAAAGATATAATGGTTAAAAAAAATGATTATTAGTGATATGAATTATACAACTGTAATTGATCATTAAATTACATTATATAATAGTAATTTACCCTTGTAATTTTTTGCAAATATTATAATTAGTAAATAATGTGAAGTACTACCCTCATAGTTTTTTGCAAATATTATAATTAGTAAATAATATGAAATACTACTTCTTGTAGCTTTTTACAAATATTACAATTAGTAAATAATACGAAGTATTATTTCCTGTAACTTTTCGTAAATATTATAATTAGTAAATAGTGCAAAGTACTACATCCATAGCTATTTGCAAATATTACAATTAGTAAATTATGTGAAATACTATCTCTGTAGCTTTTCGCAAATATATAATTAATAAATAATGCAAAGTACTACTCCCTGTAGCTTTTGTAATATTACAACTAGTAAATAATGTGAAGTACTACCCTATATATTTTCACTAA